CTCTGCAATGGCAGGTACGGGGCCCCTGTCCCTCCCTGCTCATCCCCCGTGGGACCTGGGGGACGCCCGGCATCCCCAACACCCGACTGCTCCCTTCCAGCCTGTACCGCTACAAGCACCCCTCGGACCAAGAGCTCTGCGCCCTGGCAGGGAAGCAGCACCCCAAGACCAAGCGGGACAGGTCAGCTTAAAATTAGAAATATTTTGGCTTGAGGCTAATGGAAGTCACCCCCACACCAGCTTGGGGCCAGTGCTGGTGACGAGTTGTCACAAGGGATGTGCCACCACGCCGAGGGGCTTTTGGCACTATGGGACGAGCCAGCTCTTTGCCCTCCGTCCCAAACCCGGGGTTCCCTTGCAGGAGGGTGAACGGCATGGCCGAAGACAAGCCCCTCTCTGTGCCCCGGGACATCAACCTCCGCCTGGACACCAGCCCCATCACTGCCATGGATGCTCTTGGTAAGCCCTATCATGACCCAGGACCCTCGACCATGCCCAGGACCCCCTATGGGTCCCCACCGTGTGGTGACACATCCCTCTTGTCCCACCAGTGCTGCGTTATTTCCTGGATTATCAGTGGTTCGTGGATTTTGCTGTCTACTCCACCGCTGTGTACGTCTTCACCGAGGGCTACTACTGCCTGGTGGACCCCCAGAAGGAGATGAACATTGGAGTGCTCTGGTGCCTGCTGACCATCGTCTTCTCCATGTATCCTTCTGCCAGATTTTTAGGGTGTAATTGCGACTACCCAGCGGGTCCAGGACAGGGAACCTGCCATACTTTAAAAAAAAATAAATTTAAAAGCCAATTGAGGTGGAAAACTTAAATTTATGCATTTATAAACTGCTCACTGATGAGCTGTAAAGGTGCCTTATGAAAGCCTTGCCCCGTGGCCTAATGAGGCAGATGCTTTATGACATCCTAATGAGCAGGAGGGAGTCCCACTGCCATTTTGGGGGTCCCAAAACCCCTGCTTTCCTTGACGGCTGCCCCCCGCCTGCAGCAAGGTCTTCTTCATGGTAATGCGTCATTACTTCCGCTCGGAGGAGGGGGGTGAGCGCTCCGTCTGCCTCACCTTTGCCTTCTTCTTCCTCCTCCTCGCCATGGTGGCCCTGGTGATCCGGGAGGACTACCTGGAGTTCGGCCTGGAGCCCGGTGGGTGAGGGGGGAATGGGGAGAGGCCGTGGGGGGGTCCCTGGCAGCTGCGGGCACTCCACTTATGGGGGGTCACTCCCCTTAGGTCTGGCTGGTGTCACCAACAACCTGGAGAGCACCCTGAAGCAGTGGGGCTGGGAGTGGATGTGAGTTGGAAACGGGGTTTTTGGGAGGTTTTTTGAAAGTTTGGGGTAGGAAGCAACCCGTGCGTCCCTTCTCTCTCTGCAGGCTGCCTCTGGCCAAGCTGGGCTTCAAGCTGGGGCTGGTGGCCCTCTGCTCCTTCCTGGGTGCCTGCCTGACCTTTCCTGGGCTGCGCCTGGCCCAGACGCACCTCGACGCGCTGCGGATGGCGGCCGACAAGCCCCTGACCCAGTTGGGTGAAATTTGGGGATGGCAGAGGGTGGAGGGGGTGTGGGTGAACTGGTCCTTGCTGGTGAAGGGATGGAGGGAGGGAGCGGGGGGTCTCTGACGGCTCCAACACAGGGTCCTGCTCCACCTGAGCTTCCTGGCACCTGTCCTGGTGGTGGTGATGTGGATCAAGCCCATCTCGAGGGACTTCCTGCTCCACGCGCCCATGGGCAAGCAGACGGTGCAGATGTAAGTGGGGCAGCGGGCTCTGGCATCCTTGCTCCAAGGGGAAACTGAGGCATGGGTGCACCTCCTCCACCACCAATAACCCCTCATTCTCCCCACCACCACCACTAACACCTCTCCCAGCAGACCCTCTGGGATGCAGGGGGGTTTCTGGACCCCAGGACCTCCTGCCAGCCCCCTCTTCTTGCCCCCAGCTTGTCGGACTCTGCCTACAACACGGCGCGGCTCTGGAGCATAGTTGGCCTCTGCCTGTTGCGCCTGGCCGTCACCCGCCATCACCTCCAGGCCTACCTGGTCCTGGCCGAGCGCTGGGTGGAGCAGATGAGGAAGGAGGCTGGGCGCATCACCGCCCTGGAGATCCAGCGCAAGGTGTGGATATGGGAGATGGGATCGGAGCCGGGGAGGTCTGGGTATGGCTCCTGCTGATCTGTGTTACCTGCAGATCACGAGGATTTACTGCTACGTCGCTGTGGTCAGCCTGCAGTACCTGGGACCCATCATCCTCACCCTCCACTGCACGCTGCTGCTCAAGACACTGGGTAAGGCAGTGGCAGGAGGGACACGGGGGCTCGGGAGGGACAAGATGAGACCCGGAAGTCATCATCGAGCCACCAGCATCCAAGGTGTCTCCAGGACATAGCTGGCATGAACCCGACGCATATGCTGAGCATGCTAGGACTCAGCCCCCAGGACTGACCCCCATGGCCCTGTCCCCTCTGTCACCCAGGGCACCACTCATGGGGGCTGTACTCGGAGCCACCTCCCCTCCCTGTGGCAGCAACCGCGGCACCGCTGCATCCCAGCAGTGAGGATGAGGAGGACGTGCGCGCTGCGGTGGAGCAGATCACTGGCGTCTTAGGTGGCATCTTCACCCCTCTCTTCTTCCGTGGACTCTTCGCCTTCCTCACCTGGTGGGTGGCTGCTTGCCAGGTCGTCACCAGTCTCTTTGGCCTCTACTTCCACCAGTACCTGGCAGCCTCCTGACTGGGGGAAACTGGGACATGCCCCAGGGCGCAGCCGGTGCCCTTGCCTGGGCTGGTTTCCAACGTGGTGGCACATCTGGACACACACATGGGTATGTTTCTGCCACCGGCTCTCGCCATGAGGCCCTTTATGCATCAGGGCATCGCCTGCTCCTCCGCTGACTACCGCCGTGCCTGCTCTGGGCCCACCACCACTTTGGGGATGCAGCCCCTCCAGGCCCTGTGCATCCATGGAGGAGCTGAAGCCCCGCAGCCAGGGCTGCTGCTGCATTTTCCTTGAGGGCAGCCCAGGCCAAAAACTCAGTGAGGATCACCCTTACGTGGTGGAGACCTTGCCAGCACAGATTTTGGTGTTTGCTCTGCCCGTTATTTGCCTCCCCAGCTGAGTGTGAGTGTGTTTTTATAGGGTTGCTACTCAGGGTCAGAGCTCCTTGGGGGTCAACCCTGTGCTTTGTGTGAAAGCCTCAGGCTCAGCAACCTCGGCTGTTGCTGGTTTAGAAATAAAGAAGTAACCCAGAGTTTGGTTGCCATGCCAAAAGCAGCAGCTTTCTTTGTACTTTGTGGCCCCCAGGATGGAGGGGTCCCATGAAGCAAGGGCAAGCAGCAGAGCCCCAAATGCGTTTTTGATAACCCTGTGGCCTGGCCCTGTTGCACTCAAAAAGGGGACCTCCCATTCCCCCATCATAGCCCGAAATGGTCCCATTCATGGCCCTGCCCTTGGCACTGGGGCTGATGGAGCCCAGCTCAGCCCAATGGTGGCTGCAGGGCCAGGGGGAACAGGATCTGCAGCCCCTCATCCACCTCATGGTGGGTGCCGGTCCAGCTCCATGAAAAAGGATTAACAGGTCTGGGCTGCTGGGAGAAAGGGAGAGGGGCTCTGATCCTATTTGATAGCCTTGTAATGGCCTTAATTCCCTCTCGCCAAGGCCACCCTTCACCTGGCATTAACAGGGCTAATCCAGCCAAACCTCCTCCACTGGGCGCCTCAGGACCCCCAGGAAAAGCCCTTTTGTGGAAGAATTATGAGGAAATTCCCCTTTAGCTGAGGAAACCAGAACAGCACCATCAACCAGCACAGGGCCAGAATAATTTGATTGGAAAACATCTTTAAGATGATCGAGTCCACAATTCGGCTCCAGCAGCCCTATCCCAAGCTGTGGGTGGGAAAGTGTGAGGAAGAAGTGATTCCCCCAGGGTCAGGATGCAGAAGGGACTTGTTCCAGCCCGCGCCATCCCATTAAAAGCCAGCCCGACCGCCTTGATGGCTCATTTATCTAATTTTCCTGCTGCATGTGGAGGAAGCAGCCGGAGGCTGCGCTGGTGGGGAAGCCTTTGCGGTGGGGGGACGGTTGCTAAGGCCCGGGGTTGTGCCGCGTTCAGCCATGCAGACAGTTCCTCCCCTGAGATGTGCCCAGACGTGACCCTCTCAGGCGGGGACAATGACTGATAGACTAGCCAAGAGCAGGAGACACATCCGCAGGATCCGAAATTGGGCCACATCAAATAAAATGAAAGAGCCCCCCCATCTTCCTCACCCCAGAATTGTTTTAGGCTGGATCTTGGCTTTATTTAGTGCAAGGGCTGGGCTCTGTGAAGGGCTATGCTCAGCAGAAAGGGAAGCAGCTGGGACCAAGGGGTTTTGTTGCCACAGGGGCTTTGGTGGCATCGTGAACCGCTGCTGTGACCCACATCTGGCCATGCATCACCCCCAGTGCACCCCTACCTTCCCTGGCTGGAGGAGAGGGCTGGGGCTGGAGGTCTTCCTTCACCCCCTGCCTTCCTACCCCACTTCTACCCAAAATGAGCCCCCCACTCCACTGCCTGCATCCTGCAGAGCTGCTCCTGCTCAGAGAAGAGGGAAGTCGCTCATCGCAGCCCAAATTAACGGGGGTGGGTGCTCCCCTGCACATGAAGAACGCAGAAAAGAAAGCCAAGGATTGGGATGCCCCTCTCAGTCGAGGGGGACTGGGGCCCTTCTCCAGCTCCACCATGGGCTTCCTGCAAGTCACAGCCTCTTAGTCTCTGTTTCTCTTGGGGTGCAATCAGGACACCAGCTCTGCCCTGGAGCAGCCGTGGGCTCTGGGGGTCACTTTGGGGAGGCTGGATGTGTCCCCACCGCTGGGACCTTCCTACCTTGCAAGGACCGCAGTGTCACATCCACCCGGGACCTGAAATGATGCTAAAGAGCCGAAAGCCCCAACGTCTGAGCAGGGCTGAGTGGCACCGGGGGGTCCCCAAGTTGAGGGAGCCACTGGGCCATGCCTAAGCCGACAGTGCCACCTGCTGCCATCGCACACCAGTCCTTGTCCCACAGCACAGGGGCTGAGCCAGCTCCAGAGCTGCTTTCACCCCTTTAAGCTTCTCCCAGTTTCCACGCAAAACCCAAAAGCACAAACCTGGGCATTTTGGAGGGAGCTCTGGGTGCAGGAGACTTGTGGGGCTGACAGTACCCCCAGATGCAGCCCCCCCCACCCAGACACCCCCATATCCCTCAATAAACCCAACCAGATGTACCAGGCCCTTCTCTTCCGAGCGACGTCGAGCAGGAGACGTCAGAAAGCCTGCGAAGTCAATTAGAATTTTTTATTAAATATACATCCTCTCTCTTGGCACAAATCTTAAAATATATAAACATTATATACCAAAGTGTCTTCACTGCAATAAAATAGAACTCCAGATCCAAGAAAAGCAGTCAAAACCGACACACATACAGACAAACACACCCCGATGGTGAGGACGCGTCTTGACAAAAGGCATTTAAACAGTGTTTGTGCTAAGGTATGCATAGACCACGCAGGCAGTGAACGGTGCTGGGAAACCCTGCATTGAAGTGGGAGATGGGGGGAGTGGGAGGAATCAGCCCCTACAACTATAAAAAAAGGCTGTTTTGTAGGAAAGCCACCTCCTCCTCTGGCCCAGCCCAGGCAGGGTTCCTAATGCACGCCCTGGCTCTCTGCAGAGCCCAAGCACCCAGTGAAGCACTGGGGAAAGGGGCTGGGAATGATCCCACCCCATTTCCTTCCCTCCTGCCCGCCCAGGGCTGGCGCCAGACTCGCTCGAGGGTGCCACAGTGCTTCTGCTCCAAGTTTCCTCTCACACCTCATCTGCTTTCGTGTTAAAGACACCAGAGGGTGACAGTGACACTGCTCGAGTCCTTCTGGGCAGAAGGCAATAAGAAGTTAACAGAAGTACTGTTTTCCACAGAAGCTACAAAATCCCTTTTGGAGAGCTGCTGGGGAGTACCAATGCTACACCACACCGCGACTCCTGATCCCTCCCCACCATGGTCCTGCCAACCACCAACTGGGGGAACTGGGAGCACTGGTAGAGGCCTACATGAGGCATGTGGGGCAAAGGGGTTTGCCAGAAAACAGCTCAGGTCCCACCTCACACATATTTGGGATCCCTCGTTGACCCTCCCAGGAGGACGAGCTCTCCTCGAGCGACCAACCCAGCCCGCAGCCGCTTTCAGAGCACATGGGCATCCCATGGAGGTACCGAAAGAGGAAAGGACAGGAAACAGCAGCATCTCACAGCTTGTGAAGGAAAGGCGCTAGGCTGGACAAGGACTTCAAGAACTTCTCCAAAATAACTCTTCTGCCTCATCATCCAGCGCCTTTAACTTCTTCATTGCCCCCAGAAGCATCCCAAGTTGGGTTGGTTTGGGAACCAAAGCTGCAATTTTGTCATTTTGGGTGCGTTTCGTTGGACCTGATTTTCTCCAAGTGCTAGTGCGGGACTAAAGGTGCAGAAGCAGGGAGGGAGGGAGAACAGATGAGAAAACAAAGCACAAATTAATGTTTGGCAGTAATGCATTAAGGAGCAATGAGAAACAGGACTTGAAAATAAAACCAATTTGAGAATAATAAAATGAAAAATAAATGGGGAATTTGGGATAGTAAAGGAGAATGTTCCTGTTAGAATCGTCTCCTCTCAGAGCTAAAGGCAATGGCCCTTCCTGGCCAGCACACAGGCACCCTCCCTTTCCAAATCAGCATACCCAAAACTCCTCGGGCACTCATTGCAGGCAGCAGAGAGATCTGGAACACGACTCAATTCACGCAGGGATTAAGAGGAGGGAAGGGAACACTCTGTTTCTCCTTTCTTACATTCAAATCAGAGAAGACAACAAGAAAAAAAGCTGTTTAAAACAACCCAAAGCAGTAACAAACAGTTACTGCAACCACTTTTGCCCAGGAAACAAAAGCACCAAAACCATTATAGACTGAATTCAAAGATCTGGCTCTGAACAAACTCTCTGCCTGCAAAACTTGGAAAAACAAGTCTGGCTAAAGTTCCACTGAATTAAAATCAGGTGCAGCTGCTAATTAAGGAACAACTTCTCTGAGCCCAATGCTTTCAACCCTGGCTGTGCTTCAGGTCTCACTTATCAGCTCAGAGGCCCCAGATGAGCTGCTCACACCATGTTTTCGGGTGCAAGGTGGGCGATGCAGGGGTGAACCGGCCAAAAGCTGCCTCCTCTACAGGTTTTCCATTTGTTTCCCATGCTAGGACATGGCAGAAGGTGCCCTGTGCAGATCTGTCCTCCCGTTCAGTCCCAAACAAGAAGTTACTCATCCAGTGTAAACTCTTTCTCAGTCAGGACCCAGGAGGAACTGAGCCACCTCTGTTGCTGTAGGGGTTTAGCAATGCTCAACATAAGACAAGGGATGCTGTGCTTGCCTCCAACATCACCTACCGTGCTGCAGAGCAATGGGGCTGCTCCAACTCGGATGCCACAGTTCAGTTTCCTCTCATCTTCATACAGCAGCCATCGGCTGCACAGTATGGACTGTGCTTCAAACTGAGCGAGGACTCAGTGTGGATCGTATGTACAGTCGGACACGCACACACGTACATACACACAGTCAACAGCTGACACACTTTAAAGCTGCTCTGTACCTCCTTTTTGTGGTAGGATGCAACTGCCTTGGTATTTCCTCACTGGGCCAGACGAGATAAAGACAAGAACAGAAGTAATTGGCTTCTCCATTGGAGAAA